ATAGAAATCCCACTCTGCACTCGGTGCCTTTATATATTCCACACTGCACTCGCTGCCTTTATAGAAATCCCACTCTGCACTCGCTGCCTTTCAATAACTCTCATTCTGCACTCACTGCCTTTATATAAATCCCACTCTGCAATCGCTGCCTTCATATAAATCCCACACTGCACTCGCTGCCTTTATATAAATCCCACTCTGCAATCGCTGCCTTTATATAAATCCCACTCTGCACTCGCTGCCTTTATATAAATCCCACTCTGCACTCACTGCCTTTCAATAAATCTCATTCTGCACTCACTGCCTTTCAATAAATCTCATTCTGCACTCACTGCCTTTATATAAATCCCACACTGTGCTCACTATCTTTATAAATCCCACATTGAACTCACTGCCTTTAAATAAATCCCACAATGCACTTGCTGCCTTTATATAAATCCCACTCTGCAATCGCTGCCTTTATAGAAATCCCACTCTGCACTCGATGCCTTTATATAAATCCCACTCTGCACTCACTGCCTTTATATAAATCCCACACTGCACTCGCAGCCTTTATAGAAATCCCACTCTGCACTCGCTGCCTTTATATAAATCCCACACTGCAATCGCTGCCTTTATATAAATCCCACACTGCACTCACTGCCTTTATATATATCCCACTCTGCAATCGATGCCTTTATATAAATCCCACACTGCACTCACTGCCTTTATATAAATCCCACACTGTGCTCAGTATCTTTATAAATCCCACATTGAACTCACTGCCTTTAAATAAATCCCACAATGCACTTGCCGCCTTTATATAAATCCCACACTGCACTCGCTGCCTTTATATAAATCCCACTCTGCAATCGATGCCTTTGAGTGCAGTGTGGGATAGAAGGCTTATCAATAAACTGCAATCTTTAAGTTTGGATTCAAATATTGTTGAATGGGTAAGGCAGTGGCTGAGTAACAGGCAACAGAGGGTTGTAGTTAATGGAATATATTCGAAGCTTGGACTTGTCACCAGTGGGGTCCCTCAGGGATCTGTACTTGGACCCATTCTCTTTAATATTTTTATTAGTGATATTGCAGAAGGTCTTGATGGTAAGGTATGTCTTTTGCTGATGATACTAAGATATGTAACAGGGTTGATGTTCCAAGAGGGATAAGCCAAGTGGCAAATGATTTAGGTAAACTAGAAAAATGGTCAGAATTGTGGCAACTGACATTTAATGTGGATAAGTGCAAGATAATGCATCTTGGACGTAAAACCCAAGGGCAGAGTACAGAATATTTGATAGAGTCCTAACCTCAACATATGAGGAAAGGGATTTAGGGGTGATTATTTCTGATGACTTAAAGGTAGGCAGACAATGTAATAGAGCAGCAGGAAATGCTAGCAGAATGCTTGGTTGTATAGGGAGAGGTATTAGCAGTAGAAAGAGGGAAGTGCTCATGCCATTGTACAGAACACTGGTGAGACCTCACTTGGAGTATTGTACACAGTACTGAGACCGTATCTTCAGAAGGATATTGATACCTTAGAGAGGGTTCAGAGAAGGGCTACTAAACTGGTTCATGGATTGCGGGATAAAACTTACCAGGAAAGGTTAAAGGATCTTAATATGTATAGCTTGGAGGAAAGACGAGACAGGGGGGATATGATAGAAACATTTAAATATATAAAAGGGAATCAACACAGTAAAGGAGGAGACTATATTTAAAAGAAGAAAAACTACTACAACAAGAGGACATAGTCTTAAATTAGAGGGACAAAGGTTTAAAAATAATATCAGGAAGTATTACTTTACTGAGAGGGTAGTGGATGCATGGAATAGCCTTCCAGCCGAAGTGGTAGAGGTTAACACAGTGAAGGAGTTTAAGCATGCGTGGGATAGGCATAAGGCTATCCTAACTATAAGATAAGGCCAGGGACTAATGAAAGTATTTAGAAAATTGGGCAGACTAGATGGGCCGAATGGTTCTTATCTGCCGTCACATTCTATGTTTCTATGTTTCTATGTTATATAAATCCCACACTGCACTCGCTGCCTTTATAGAAATCCCACTCTGAACTCGCTGCCTTTATATAAATCCCACACTGCAATCGCTGCCTTTATATAAATCCCACACTGCAATCGCTGCCTTTATATATATCCCACTCTGCAATCGCTGCCTTTATATAAATCCCACACTGCACTCACTGCCTTTATATAAATCCCACACTGTGCTCACTATCTTTATATAAATCCCACACTGCAATCGCTGCCTTTATATAAATCCCACACTGCACTCACTGCCTTTATATATATCCCACACTGCACTCACTGCCTTTATATAAATCCCACACTGCAATCGCTGCCTTTATATAAATCCCACACTGCACTCACTGCCTTTATATAAATCCCACACTGCACTCACTGCCTTTATATAAATCCCACACTGTGCTCACTATCTTTATAAATCCCACATTGAACTCACTGCCTTTAAATAAATCCCACAATGCACTTGCTGTCTTTATATAAATCCCACTCTGCAATCGCTGCCTTTATATAAATCCCACTCTGCACTCACTGCCTTTATATAAATCCCACACTGCAATCGCTGCCTTTATATAAATCCCACACTGCACTCACTGCCTTTATATAAATCCCACACTGTGCTCACTATCTTTATAAATCCCACACTGTGCTCACTATCTTTATAAATCCCACATTGAACTCACTGCCTTTAAATAAATCCCACAATGCACTTGCTGCCTTTATATAAATCCCACTCTGCACTCACTGCCTTTATATAAATCCCACTCTGCACTCACTGCCTTTATATAAATCCCACACTGCAATCGCTGCCTTTATATAAATCCCACACTGCACTCACTGCCTTTATATATATCCCACTCTGCAATCGCTGCCTTTATATAAATCCCACACTGCACTCACTGCCTTTATATAAATCCCACACTGTGCTCACTATCTTTATAAATCCCACATTGAACTCACTGCCTTTAAATAAATCCTACAATGCACTTGCTGCCTTTATATAAATCCCACTCTGCACTTTATATATATCCCACTCTGCAATCGCTGCCTTTATATAAATCCCACACTGCACTCACTGCCTTTATATAAATCCCACACTGTGCTCACTGCCTTTATATAAATCCCACACTGTGCTCACTATCTTTATAAATCCCACATTGAACTCACTGCCTTTAAATAAATCCCACAATGCACTTGCTGTCTTTATATAAATCCCACTCTGCAATCGCTGCCTTTATATAAATCCCACACTGCAATCGCTGCCTTTATATAAATCCCACACTGCACTCACTGCCTATATATATACCACTCTGCAATCGCTGCCTTTATATAAATCCCACACTGCACTCACTGCCTTTATATAAATCCCACACTGCACTCACTGCCTTTATATAAATCCCACACTGTGCTCACTATCTTTATAAATCCCACATTGAACTCACTGCCTTTAAATAAATCCCACAATGCACTTGCTGTCTTTATATAAATCCCACTCTGCAATCGCTGCCTTTATATAAATCCCACTCTGCAATCGCTGCCTTTATAGAAATCCCACTCTGCACTCGCTGCCTTTATATAAATCCCACTCTGCACTCACTGCCTTTATATAAATCCCACACTGCAATCGCTGCCTTTATATAAATCCCACACTGCACTCACTGCCTTTATATATATCCCACTCTGCAATCGCTGCCTTTATATAAATCCCACACTGCACTCACTGCCTTTATATAAATCCCACACTGTGCTCACTATCTTTATAAATCCCACATTGAACTCACTGCCTTTAAATAAATCCCACAATGCACTTGCTGCCTTTATATAAATCCCACACTGCACTCGCTGCCTTTATATAAATCCCACTCTGCACTCACTGCCTTTATATAAATCCCACTCTGCACTCTGTTTTAATACTACACTTTCCTTTAAACGCATCAACAAAGAGTGTGCACGTTATAAACCCACCCTGCGCATTTCACACAACGCACAGCACATGGTTAAGAACTCTTTAAAATATAGCGTACTCTATTTAAAGCAATTAATTACAGAATCAACTCCGTAAATGTTTCCGCCATATCACAGGCAGTGATATGAGACAATTTAATCATTTACAAACAAAGAGAAAAACAGGATTAATTGCATTTTGTAAAAATATATGGAATTTGGAAGATTACAATGCTCAGTTTAACAGGAAATAGATCAGACTGAATCTAAAAACCAGACAAGAGTACAGTGTGTCTTCCATGTTTCAACTCCCTGCATTACAATCACTGCTCCATATAGCCACTGCTGGAAATAGCATGTTCAATCTCAGTCTTTACAGGCAATTGCTAAAAAGTGGAGCAATCAGCAGGAACATTCCATTGGTTTCCATGGTGATTGTTTCAGCTGTAGAGCAATCAGCAGGAACATTCCATTGGTTTCCATGGTGACTGCTAGGCGTGCAAAAATTAGTTTTAATCCATTTGTCCAAATAAAATTCCTGGTAATCGTTTAATGAATCAACTCCAAAAATGTGGTTCACTCATAAAAAGATATTAACTTAGATGATATGGTTCATTTATGAACAAACCAAATTTTGGGAGTTGATTTGTTTGCACATGTCAAGTGGGCTTGGCCCCTTTAATTTATCTGGAAGACTTACCCCACAATAAAATCTCATATATAGAAACCCCTCAAGAGAGAAAGCTAGAGGCCAGCAAACCATCCAACAAGCCTTGGGTGACTGGAACTCTGCAGCAGTACTCGCTCACGGATAACTTGATATCATCCAAACTCCACCAGGCAACAGTGCTGGCTTTGTGCAGGTGGTGACAAGGTATTTGCCAATCCCCTGTAAAGCCTGAGAGTTATTTCCCAGCACACAGTGAGTCACAGAGCAGCCTAGAAAAACAATAATCAGATGGGGTTATTTACAGCAGCTCTGTGCACTGCAACCTTTGGCTGAACTGGCTTAAAACACAACTCAACCGTTGGCAAACCACCCACACTTAACAGAGCAGTCCTCTCTGGGGTTAAAGGGGTAAAAGGAGGTTCACCGTAACTTACCGACCACATGGAAGCTGTTCTAATGAAGAACCATAACAACAAGTTCACAGTAAATACTAATGTTCAATAAACCAAAGATAGCTGGTGCTCCAAAATAACGTCCAATTGTCAGCAGTTAAACAGTGTGGCCATGAGAAATCAGGCAGTACAGTACTCCCGTCTGCGTCTCTCTCTCTGTTACTTAGAGTACTCCTGTCTGTGTCTCTCTCTCTGTTACTGAGAGTACTCCTGTCTGCGTCTCTCTCTGTTAGAGTACTCCTGTCTGCGTCTCTCTCTCTGTTACTTAGAGTACTCCTGTCTGCGTGTCTCTCTCTGTTACTGAGAGTACTCCTGTCTGCGTCTCTCTCTCCCCGTTATTTATAGTACTCCTGTCTGCGTCTCTCTCTGTTACTGAGAGTACTCCTGTCTGCGTCTCTCTCTCTCCGTTACTTATAGTACTCCTGTCTGCACCTCTCTCGGTTACTTATAGTACTCCTGTCTGCGTCCGTCTCTCTCCGTTATTTATAGTACTCCTGTCTGCGTCTCTCTCTCTCTGTTACTGAGAGTACTCCTGTCTGCGTCTCTCTTTCCATTACTTATAGTACTCCTGTCTGCGTCTCTCTCTCTCTCTGTTACTGAGAGTACTCCGGTCTGCATCTCTCTCTCCATTACTTATAATACTCCTGTCTGCGTCTCTCTCTCTGTTACTGAGAGTACTCCTGTCTGCGTCTTTCTGTCTCTGTTACTGAGAGTACTCCTGTCTGCATCTCTCTGTCTCTTAGAGTACTCCTGTCTGCGTCTCTCTCTCTGTTATTTATAGTACTCCTGTTTGCGTCTCTCTCTCTCTCTCTGTGTTACTGAGAGTACTCCTGTCTGCGTCTCTCTTTTTCATTACTTATAGTACTCCTGTCTGCGTCTCTCTCTCTCTGTTACTGAGAGTACTACATTCTACGTTTCTCTCTCCGTTATTTATAGTACTCCTGTCTGCGTCTCTCTCTCTGTTACTGAGAGTACTCCTGTCTGCGTCTCTCTCCGTTACTTATAGTACTCCTGTCTGCGTCTCTATCTGTTACTGAGAGTACTCCTGTCTGCGTTTCTCTCTCTCTCGGTTACTTTTAGTACTCTTGTCTGCGTCTCTCTCTCTATCCGTTACTTATAGTACTCCTGTCTCCGTCTCTTTCTCTCCGTTACTTATGGTACTCCTATCTGCGTCTCTCTCTCTGTTACTGAGAGTACTCCTGTCTGCGTCTCTCTCTCTGTTACTGAGAGTAGTCCTGTCTGCGTCTCTCTCTCTGTTACTGAGAGTACTCCTGTCTGCGTCTCTCTCTCTCCGTTACTTATAGTACTCCTGTCTGTGTCTCTCTCTCTGTTACTGAGAGTACTCCTGTCTGCGTCTCTCTCTCTCTCGGTTACTTATAGTACTCTTGTCTGTGTCTCTCTCTCTCTCCGTTACTTATAGTACTCCTGTCTCCGTCTCTCTATCTCCGTTACTTATGGTACTTCTGTCTGCGTCTCTCTGTTACTTAGAGTACTCCTGTCTGCGTCTCTCTCTCTCTCTGTTACTGAGAGTACTCCTGTCTGCGTCTCTCTCTGTTACTGAGAGTACTCCTGTCTGCGTCTCTCTCTCCGTTCTCTCTCTCTGTTACTGAGAGTACTCCTGTCTGTGTCTCTCTCTCTCTCTCTCTCGGTTACTTATAGTACTCCTGTCTGCGTTTCTCTCTCTCTCTCTCCGTTACTTATAGTACTCCTGTCTCCGTCTCTCTCTCCGTTACTTATAGTACTCCTGTCTGCGCCTCTCTCCGTTACTTAGAGTATTCCTGCCTGCGTCTCTCTCTCTCTCTGTTACTGAGAGTACTCCTGTCTGTGTCTCTCTCTCTCTGTTACTGAGAGTACTCCTGTCTGTGTCTCTCTCTCCGTTATTTATAGTACTCCTGTCTGCGTCTCTCTCTCTCTCTGTTACTGAGAGTACTCCGGTCTGCATCTCTCTCTCCATTACTTATAGTACTCCTGTCTGCGTCTCTCTCTCTCTCTCTGTTACTGAGAGTACTCCATTCTACGTTTCTCTCTCCGTTATTTATAGTACTCCTGTCTGCGCGTCTCTCTCTGTTACTGAGAGTACTCCTGTCTGCGTCTCTCTCCGTTACTTATAGTACTCCTGTCTGCGTCTCTCTCTCTCTGTTACTGAGAGTACTCCTGTCTGCGTCTCTCTTTCCATTACTTATAGTACTCCTGTCTGCGTCTCTCTCTCTCTCTGTTACTGAGAGTACTCCGGTCTGCATCTCTCTCTCCATTACTTATAATACTCCTGTCTGCGTCTCTCTCTCTGTTACTGAGAGTACTCCTGTCTGCGTCTCTCTGTCTCTGTTACTGAGAGTACTCCTGTCTGCATCTCTCTGTCTCTTAGAGTACTCCTGTCTGCGTCTCTCTCTCTGTTATTTATAGTACTCCTGTCTGCGTCTCTCTCTCTCTCTCTGTGTTACTGAGAGTACTCCTGTCTGCGTCTCTCTTTTTCATTACTTATAGTACTCCTGTCTGCGTCTCTCTCTCTCTGTTACTGAGAGTACTACATTCTACGTTTCTCTCTCCGTTATTTATAGTACTCCTGTCTGTGTCTCTCTCTCTGTTACTGAGAGTACTCCTGTCTGCGTCTCTCTCCGTTACTTATAGTACTCCTGTCTGCGTCTCTATCTGTTACTGAGAGTACTCCTGTCTGCGTTTCTCTCTCTCTCGGTTACTTATAGTACTCTTGTCTGCGTCTCTCTCTCTATCCGTTACTTATAGTACTCCTGTCTCCGTCTCTTTCTCTCCGTTACTTATGGTACTCCTATCTGCGTCTCTCTCTCTGTTACTGAGAGTACTCCTGTCTGCGTCTCTCTCTCTGTTACTGAGAGTAGTCCTGTCTGCGTCTCTCTCTCTGTTACTGAGAGTACTCCTGTCTGCGTCTCTCTCTCTCCGTTACTTATAGTACTCCTGTCTGTGTCTCTCTCTCTGTTACTGAGAGTACTCCTGTCTGCGTCTCTCTCTCTCTCGGTTACTTATAGTACTCTTGTCTGTGTCTCTCTCTCTCTCCGTTACTTATAGTACTCCTGTCTCCGTCTCTCTATCTCCGTTACTTATGGTACTTCTGTCTGCGTCTCTCTGTTACTTAGAGTACTCCTGTCTGCGTCTCTCTCTCTCTCTGTTACTGAGAGTACTCCTGTCTGCGTCTCTCTCTGTTACTGAGAGTACTCCTGTCTGCGTCTCTCTCTCCGTTCTCTCTCTCTGTTACTGAGAGTACTCCTGTCTGTGTCTCTCTCTCTCTCTCTCTCGGTTACTTATAGTACTCCTGTCTGCGTTTCTCTCTCTCTCTCTCCGTTACTTATAGTACTCCTGTCTCCGTCTCTCTCTCCGTTACTTATAGTACTCCTGTCTGCGCCTCTCTCCGTTACTTAGAGTATTCCTGCCTGCGTCTCTCTCTCTCTCTGTTACTGAGAGTACTCCTGTCTGTGTCTCTCTCTCTCTGTTACTGAGAGTACTCCTGTCTGTGTCTCTCTCTCCGTTATTTATAGTACTCCTGTCTGCGTCTCTCTCTCTCTCTGTTACTGAGAGTACTCCGGTCTGCATCTCTCTCTCCATTACTTATAGTACTCCTGTCTGCGTCTCTCTCTCTCTCTCTGTTACTGAGAGTACTCCATTCTACGTTTCTCTCTCCGTTATTTATAGTACTCCTGTCTGCGCGTCTCTCTCTGTTACTGAGAGTACTCCTGTCTGCGTCTCTCTCCGTTACTTATAGTACTCCTGTCTGCGTCTCTCTCTCTCTGTTACTGAGAGTACTCCTGTCTGCGTCTCTCTCTCGGTTACTTATAGTACTCTTGTCTGCGTCTCTCTCTCTCTCCGTTACTTATAGTACTCCTGTATCCGTCTCTTATGGTACTCCTGTCTGCGTTACTTATGGTACTCCTGTCTGCGTCTCTCTCTGTTACTTAGAGTACTCCTGTCTGCGTCTCTCTCTCTCTCTCTGTTACTGAGAGTACTCCTGTCTGCGTCTCTCTCTCTGTTACTGAGAGTACTCCTGTCTGCATCTCTCTCTGTTACTGAGAGTACTCCTGTCTGCGTCTCTCTCTCCGTTCGCTCTCTCTGTTTCTGAGAGTACTCCTGTCTGAGTCTCTCTCTCTGTTACTGAGAGTACTCCTGTCTGCGTCTCTCTCTCTCGGTTACTTATAGTACTCCTGTCTGCGTCTCTCTCACTGTTACTTATAGTACTCCTGTCTCCGTCTCTCTCTCCGTTACTTATAGTACTCCTGTCTGCGTCTCTCTCTCTCTGTTACTTATAGTACTCCTGTCTCCGTCTCTCTCTCTCTCTGTTACTGAGAGTACTCCTGTCTGCGTCTCTCTCTGTTACTGAGAGTACTCCTGACTCTCTCTCGGTTACTTATAGTACTCCTGTCTGTGTCTCTCTCTCTCTCTCGGTTACTTATAGTACTCCTGTCTGCATCTCTCGGTTACTTATAGTACTCCTGTCTGCGTCTCTCTCTCTTGGTTACTTATAGTACTCCTGTCTGCGTCTCTCTCTCTCCGTTAGAGTACTCCTGTCTGTGTCTCTTTCTCTCTGTCACTTAGAGTACTCCCATCTGTGTGTGTGTGTCTCTCTCTCTGTTACTGAGAGTACTCCTGTCTGCATCTCTCTGTTACTGAGAGTACTCCTGTCTGGGTCTCTCTCTCTGCTATTGAGAGTACTCCTGTCTGCATCTCTCTCTGTTACTTAGAGTGCTCCTGTCTGCGTCGCTCTCTCTCCGTTACTTATAGTACTCCTGTCTGTGTATCTCTCTCTCTGTTACTTAGAGTACTCCCGTCTGCATCTCTCTGTCAGAGTACTCCTGTCTGCGTCTCTCTCTCCGTTACTTATAGTACTCCTGTCTGCATCTCTCTCTCTCTGTTACTTAGATTACTCCCGTCTGCATCTCTCTCTCTGTCAGAGTACTCCTGTCTGTGTCTCTCTCTGTTACTGAGAGTACGCCTGTCTGTCTCTCTCTCTCTGTCAGAGTACTCCTGTCTGCGTCTCTCTCTCTCTCTCTGTTAGAGTACTCCTGTCTGCATCTCTCTGTCAGAGTACTCCTGTCTGCGTCTCTCTCTCCGTTACTTATAGTACTCCTGTCTGCGTCTCTCTCTCTCTGTTACTTAGAGTACTCCCGTCTGCATCTCTGTCAGAGTACTCCTGTCTGCGTCTCTCTCTCTCCGTTACTTATAGTACTCCTGTCTGCGTCTCTCTCTCTCTGTTACTTAGAGTACTCCCGTCTGCATCTCTCTCTCTGTCAGAGTACTCCTGTCTGTGTCTCTCTTTGTTACTGAGAGTACTCCTGTCTGTGTCTCTCTCTGTTACTTAGAGTACTCCCGTCTGCATCTCTCTCTCTCTGTCAGAGTACTCCTGTCTGTGTCTCTCTCTGTTACTGAGAGTACTCCTGTCTGCATCTCTCTGTCAGAGTACTCCTGTCTGCGTCTCTCTCTCCTTAACTTATAGTTCTCCTGTCTGCGTCTCTCTCTCTCTCTGTTACTGAGAGTACTCCTGTCTGCATCTCTCTGTCAGAGTACTCCTGTCTGCGTCTCTCTCTCCGTTACTTATAGTACTCCTGTCTGCGTCTCTCTCTCTCTGTTACTTAGAGTACTCCCATCTGCATCTCTCTCTCTGTCAGAGTACTCCTTTGTTCCTGAGAGTACTCCTGTCTGCGTCTTTCTCCGTTACTTATAGTACTCCTGTCTGCGTCTCTCTCTCTCCGTTACTTATAGTACTCCTGTCTGCGTCTCTCTCTCTCTGTTACTTATAGTACTCCTGTCTGCGTATCTCTCTCTGTCAGAGTACTCCCAACTACATCTCTCTGTCAGAGTACTCCTGTCTACATCTCTCTCTCTGTCAGAATACTCCTGTCTGCATTGCTCTGTTATTTTTATTGCTAATAGTTATTTTTTCGCACAGTAATGCAATATTACACTAAGATTTGACACTTTGCAACATATAAACCCAGACACACTGAAGTGAAATAATTCAGCCATCAAACGCATTTCTTAACAAATGGAACATTTATGAAAAACAAATGTACAAGATTCTCTTTTTAGTAAATGAGTTTAGTATAGCTACAGATTGCAGGAACTGGAGCTTCAGGTATCAGGGCAGATTCCCAAGCTCAGTATGACTGTACATGAAATGTAAATACATGAATTACACAAAGCCAAGAAAAGGGATGAGACCATAAGCCTGGAGTAAGTACTACCCCCTGAAAGAAGGGGCCGCTGAGACCTAATAGCTTGTCATGATCAGCCCTAGGTAAAGCAATGAGAGGATGTACATGACTCGTAGCAGGAGATATTCCCACAATACAGCAACACCTGGAGAATCCCACTCATGGCAGTACCAGCTCTGTGTCCACAGAGACTCCGCTCTACAGCTAAAGGCACCTACCTAAGCAATTTTAGGATCAGAACCTACAGGTTCAATAAGCTGGCACAAAAATTAAACAGCATATTTGTTGGCACTCTAAGTCACAGATTGCAAGAAATATAAAGGCCTAGTTTATTCCCTTGTCAAAACCCTGCTGAGCAAACTGACTGTGACAATCAGTTCCATTCATTTACTGTGGGTGCAGTTATTCTGTAGATCCCACAGCAGGGCATTTATAATATCCTGTACCGTGGCAATTAGCTCAATGCCCATCTCCATTTCAATTTACACAGACTTTATAAAGAACCTCGGTGAGTTGATCCTCTGGCCAAAAATAAGTCCTCAAATGCCCTGCTTTGCCAAAAATAATGGGTCCTCAAATGCCCCGCTTGGCCAGAAATAATGGGTCCTCAAATGCCCCGCTTGGCCAGAAATAATGGGTCTTCAAATGCCCTGCTTGGCCATAAATAATGGGTCCTCAAATGCCCTGCTTGGCCATAAATAATGGGTTCTCGGAAAGTCAGATTTTGGAGGGTCTGTGCAACGGTTTTAACCTCTTGCTAGGGTTATGTCTTGTAGACAGGGGACTCATTCTAAAACCTTCTGCTCTTGGCATGAGTGGCTGGAGTTCCTGTAGCTGAATTGTGTTGGATCCTAGATCACTTTGTCCAGGGGAGTTTGAAAAAGGAAAGCAGCTACAAGTCTCAGGTAGGGTCTGAAGGACAGGAGGGCTTCTGCCATCCTGCCTCAGCAACCTTCCTCCATCTTGGTGGTGCTCAGAAACAGGAGGTGAACCAACGCTCTCTAGGGAAGAGATGCTCTGCTTCCAGGATCTTTGTAGGTCCACGGGGACAATCTTGGTGGTCTCAGAGGAGATGCAGACTGTGTTTTCATCAGGTTCTCTTTTCCATGGTAGAACTTTCTCGGCTAGCGTTGGGGACGGTGGGACAATCCGTGGGCTCTGACAGACGCCCAGCATGCCTGCAGATAGAAAGTAACCATTTTAAAATTAAAACAAAGAGTGCTCTGAGGCCGGAGTCTGCCTGTATCTTAAATGCACATGAAGCATCCACTGTGGAAACCTATTTTTTTTTAAATCTAATTCTTTATTTTTCTCATTCCATGTATTTTTGGAGCGATTACAGTAACGTGTAAAGTCAGATTGTAATATATGATGTAAACATTATTGCCGGACAGTGTATGAGGAGGTGTTACTTAGGTTAGTGTCTGCCCTATTGCCCGGATAGAGTAGTGTGGAATGAGGTTTTTTGTTAAAGTAGAGGTATACAAACGTGTAAGCTAGTAGTATCGGTTAATACAGGAGTCTGAGGGCCAGTCCGCTCAAGATGTAGTGTCGAGCCAGGTAAGGCTCCTGTATTCCACCGTGGAAACTTAAGCAGGATTCCATAAACATCAGCCAAAGATTGATAGCGATCAGTCTATTCCGATGAAAATATAATGTGAGACAGGTGAGGAGTGAGCTGTCCCTTTAATATCAAGCTACATTCTGATTCGCTCCATTTTACAGCTCTTCCCATTGGTTGCATTGTCTTCTTGTTATACATGGTATTTTTTTCTCTCTGCAGAGCTTAACAAATCCTTCATCTATTAAACATCAACGATGACTATAAACCACCAGCCACACGTCTATTTGTATACACAGTATGCAACGCGAACAATGCTTAAAGTCAGATCTCACCTGAGAGGACACTCACCTCTTCCTGCCAACACAAGACCTGCTTCAAAGGTACCCCCCCACTCCAATACAAAATAAAACAAAAAACAAATAAACCCATGAATAACCAGCATCACATGCTAAAGCAATGAGCCAGGACGCAGAATTTATTTCTTCTTATTTCTGTATATTGGATGAACAGAATAAAGGAAATTCCTTAAAAGATCTTTATCTGAACGTTAAAGGGACACTCCAGGCACCCAGACCACTTCTGCCCATTGGAGTGGTCTGGGTGCCAACTCCCACTACTCTTAACCCTGCAAGTGTAATTATTGCAGTTTTTTATAAACTTCAATAATTACCTTGCAGGGTTAACTCCACCTCTAGTGGCTGTCTAGTAGACAGCCACTAGAGGGCACTTCCGTGTCCCTAGCACAAGAAACCTGTGCTAGAGCGTCACTGGATGTCCTCACGCTGTGTGAGGACCTCCAGCGTCGCTCATTTCCCCATAGGAAAGCATTGAAATGCATTTTCAATGCTTTCCTATGGGGAGCGCTAATGCGCATGCACGGCATTGCGTCATGCGCAGCCGCGCATGCGCATTAGGTCTCCCCGGCCGGTGGGTGGGATCAGTCTCGCCCACCGACCGACGCAGTCACTGGGAGGAGCGGCGGCGGAGGAAGAAGCAGCGACGTGGGACATCGTTGCTGCCTCTGGTAAATTACTGAAGGGGTTTTCACCACTTCACCAACCAGGGATTGGGGGTGGGAGGGAGAGGGGACCTGCAGCGCCTGGAAAACAGATTGTTTTCCTGGCATTGGAGTTTCCCTTTAAACTCAATAATCCCAATCAATCCCAATAAAATCATCCATCACTTTGCAAAGCTATGGAGTGGACATTTGTTCTCAATACTTGTCTATTAGAGGCATTTGATTGGACAATGTCCAGCACTAACCAGGAAGTACATGCTGGGTATAAAGTGGGTGGCTCTTCATTGGATGCAGCTAATGAAAGGTACGTTTTTTTTTAAAGCTTGGGAAATATTTGTGCTAATTTTAATAAATGTATTTTTGCAACAATTATATGCATTAAAATCTGCATTGTGGAAAAAAAGTTTTCCTTTAAGGGCAGAGAATAAGTAGTTGAACTAAAAAGGCTAGGTGACAACACATTGAAGGGTTAGCATAAATTAAATCGGTAAGTGATAAAATATGATAATAGTAATAAATGTATTTTATTTGCCACAGAAATTGTTTGCGAGTATGAGTTACGTAAATGAACAGGTTGCCATTTTTTATTACCTGAGATTTTAACGCCTTGGAGAATCTCATCTGTTGCTCTGGCAATAAATGTTATTCCCTCGTCATCGCCAATTTCTATATCTGAATGTTCGCTTTCTGAATCCGCTGTGACAATGATGGAAGCTGCAAAATAAACAGAACAGCGGAACTCGTCCATGACTGACAAGAGGTATAAAGAAAAAATAATAGCACAGCTCAGCAACTAGTGTGGTTTGATCAGCCAGAAACCCAGCAGTGTTTGGACACAATACCGGTGAAATATTGGTGGGTATATTCTATTTTTTTGTTACAATTAATGATTTGGCTGAGGCTGGCAGTCCTGTGACTACAGGTTTGCTAACCAGTGAAAGCGTTAATGGGGATTCAGATCAATGCAGCAGGAGAGATTTACATAGACAGATGATTTTCTGGCATTCATGACCTGTGCGGATTTGCATTCAACGTGATTAGAGCAGGCAGCCAATGGTGTCCTGCGACAGCCAGTGAAAACCTACCCGCGTTTTCCCAGCTAACAGCTTTGCTCTGTCTCCCATTTCGGAACTCGTTTTCCAGACTGCATCGTCTCTGCACAAGCAAACACAAAACCACAAACGTTTCAAATAAATAAATAAAATCATCACGTCAAGAGAAGGGCAGATTAATATTGAATGCCAAGTCAAGGACAACAATCCGGACTGGTCAAAACACTTAAAGGGCTACTTACTAATGTTTTGAACACAGAAGAAAAAGGGAGGAATTTGTAACCATTCAGATGCATTTTTAAAATGTTCAGTACCTGTATATAGTTACATAGCTGAAAAGAGACATGTGCCCATCAAGTTTA